AAGATATTAGACTTGCAAGATTTGATACAAACGTGTACACACGCAAACATACAGATAGGTAAGTTGAAAACTATCTGGTTATTGTAGAAATTTTAATATTTCAATCTTTCGTTCGGTCAGAATAACTTTTATCTTTTCCTATTCCCAATCCGACCCTGTGCTACATTTTACAATGGCTCTATGATACTCTCTCTCTCCCTCACCAGACGTGTGGGAGGAGCTACCTGACGGGCGTGTCATTTAAAAGAAATTCATCTACTATTCTGACTCCAGATTCAAAAGTAATAATTAGTTTTCACTAGTCGACGGCTGAAGCAAAACTTTATTAGTTGACTTTGATAAAATTTGATATTTCCCATTTCGAAAGGCATAATGCAAGGAAATCAAATTCGTATAAATAACACATTCTTATTAAATTAATAACAAAATAAAGGAAACATTAAAAAGAAAAATGAGAAAGTCGTTTAACTGAGAAAATGATAGGCTTCAATACCGAAATGGAATAACACCAAAATATTCGTTAGTTTTGATGGTGGAATTGAAGAAAAATGCCCAAAAATGAGAGAGAGAATACTTTTTATTCATCTAATATTCGAAAAATATTTTTTTTATTATTTTTCCTTTATACACTCATACAATCTTTCCTCAATCAGAATAAGAAAAATCGTTTCTGACTCCTTTTTTTTCAGGGATGAAGACCCTTAAGAGATAACGTGCCAGAAAAGGATCGATGAATAGTTGACCTGATTGAAGCGATCGCTTCACAACAGAACCATTTTTCCTATTAACTTAACAGTCTCGTTGGTTGTCTCTGATTGAAATAACAGTAAAGAACGACTAAACAGACATTCCTTTAACAGTGTTGCCACGTGTGGAGTTGCAACGAATTATCCAGAATTATTTGTAAACAAAACGATTTTTAAAGTACATTGCACTAGTTGTTGTAGGGGGCGGGGTAGGTGTGTGCGCGTATCTATTTAAACCCATAACAATTAATAATAAAAATACTCTGCCTCAATCTAATGAATCAATAATTTATGGCATTGAAAAAGTATATCACCAACCTTTGGGTTACTTGAAAAACATCTCTTCTATTGAATTCTTGAAAAAAAACATTGAAATATAGGTATCTTTTGGAGTTTCACATGTCTCTTCACTTGAATTTTGATTAAAAATTTTTCATATTACAAGAACTTGAGATAGTTTAGGAAAAAGTCCAATCCAGTATCTACCATAAGCAGACTATTTTTTTGGATTGTGGTACTACTGGAATGAAGCAGTAGGCCAAAAAATTAATTTTGTTGGAAAAAACAAACATTTGAAAAATGTATCCACCACTCTAAATGAAAATTCCGGATCGAATATAATGAAATATATAAGCCAATATTATTATTTCCAGCTGGAGCGAAGTGTTCATAGCTTTACAAACTTTTACTCGGGTCAACATTCAGGCAGGAAACTGAATTGGCTTTATAATATGTCCAAGGGGGAACTGAACACAAATTGTTTCAAGAATAGGTATGTAATGACGATGAACTTTTTTTTTACCATCATTTACCAATTTTGTTCAAGGTATACTCTGCAAGCTAGCACATTTCAAATGGCCATACTACTCCAATATAATTTATCTGATAGTTGGACAGTGGCCCAACTTGAAGACAATACCCAGATCAAAGCCGATTTTCTTGTTCAAGTTTTGCAAATTCTGTTGAAAGCCAAGCTTCTTTCATGTGAGGATGACGACAATGACCTCAGTCCAAACTCGATTATAAATCTTCATTTAGGATATAGAAAGTAAGAAATACTATTTTTTTCGAATCTCTACTAAATGTGTACTTCTATTATAAAAAAAAGTAATATCAATAGACTGATTATCCATCTCTTTACGGAGATAGGGTTATATCTAAAATATCTAAACCAGTTTTGTTTGAATTACCTCTATTACAAATAAACGAATAAATGGTTAGTTATAAACAAATTCAACAGGAATTTAAAATATTCCAGTAAAAAACTTCGCGTCAACATTAATATTCCAATGAAGACGGAGCTCAAAATGGAACAAGAAACCACTCACAAACACATAGAAGAAGATAGAAAGTTATTAATACAAGCCGCAATAGTTCGAATTATGAAGATGAGGAAAGTACTCAAGCATCAGCAGCTGGTTGCTGAAGTATTGAATCAACTCTCTTCTAGGTTTAAGCCAAGAGTCCACATCATTAAGGTGAGTAGTTTATTTATTTACACAGAACATAAAAGAAAACAAAATGCACTGTTCTTTCAAATTCCTACATCATACTCGGTGCAATACGCCTATGAAGTTATAAATGCCTCAAGCTATAAATGTTTTTTGTGACTGAACTAGATTGAACAATATCAATGATTGACATAATTTGTAAAGCGGTTCAGGTGAAAAACACCTTACCCCTTGCCTGTCGTGTGAAATTTGGGAAGCTAACCTGAAATGCCATTGGAAAACGAATCCACATGTTTCTAGAAATGATATGAAATCTAGAAAAGTTAATGCAGTTAGCTTCCCAAATTTCTGCTACTGCAGTTGTCGGTGGATTGGTCAAACTACCAACACTGACATAAAAACTTGTCAAGTTGCTTGCGTTTACGCAGCTATTTTTATCAAGTACTTTTCTGGTTTTTTCTCATTTTGTCTTCAATCGAGGACCGCCTGCCCGGTACTGACGATGCCCAATAGGCTGAAACAGCTGTATA